TCCAACTTGTTTCACCGGTGAAGCGGTTGAGTACATACACTTGGCCATCATAACCACCTAGAAAACAACAAATATTAGGTTCCATTTGATAAGATAAATAGCAAATCAGGCCATTGGAAATACCATCACAATCATTACAGAGGCCATGTCAGCTTTCTACATTCACCAGAAACTGTGAATTATTACTAATATTGTTTGCAAGACATGGTCTTTAATTTGTCTCAGTTCAAGCTGAAAGAAAGGAGGGGAGGGAAGGGTAGGGAAGAGTTTGAGTGAAGAAAAGATTTTGAATAAGCAAATCAGCAGTATTTTAGCCTCTTATTTACATTTTCTTTTAAAATGCATACTCATGCATTGAGAATCTTGATACCAGTAATGGAAAAAACTACTCCAGAGAAAGTGAAACAAGTTCTATATACAAACACGCAATGTATGATTCAGATCCTGTTACATAATTACAGCATCTCTCTCCTTTGCTTTATTTACTCACGAGTAACTCCTGCTATTTAATTTAAAAACAATATACAATACCTTGCCCACTATTACATACCTACCACAGAGTGAGAGAGCTGCAGAAGATTCTATTCTGTCCCCCAGCCTACTCTCCCACAGGACTTTGCCATCACTCAGTCTGCTGCACATGAACGTGTAACTATGGGAACCTATGAAAACTTCTCCTTCACACCTCCCTGGTGCACAAACCACAAGAGGTGATGCATCAATACATTTGTACAGACAAGTTCCCCACTTACAAGAAACAGAAACTTTTCCTTTGGCGTTGTTAAAATTTTCTGTATCTTGGTTGACACTCCTGGAAACTTTATGATCTTGAAAAGAAGAGAAGAACTCCTTAGAGACCTTAGTCATTATTGGTGATGGTGCAGCCTCACATGATATCGCACCAGCCTGAACACTGGTTTGACTGGCAGAAAATGTTTGTGCCTTGCCTGCCACAAGCCTATCTATGCTTGGTGTTGAATGTTTACAGATGTTACAAATGGTAAACTGGTTTTGTCTTTGTACTGTACAAAAACAGGTTTTCACATCAGCTACACTGGATGGAGCATTTGTGCTAGAGTCTTCACTTTCTTCTACTCCCTGGATCTTTTTTGCTGCC